AAGTTATATGTCCGATATACCCTTCCCGCCTTTCATTCTGTGTGGTGTAAGTTTTATGTCCGATATATTCCCTTTCATTTCCCGCCATTCATTCTGTGTGGTGTAAGTTTTATGTCCGATATACCCTTCCCTCCTTTCATTCTGTGTGGTGTAAGTTTTATGTCCGATATACCCTTCCGTCCTTTCATTCTGTGTGGTGTAAGTTTTATGTCCGATATTCCATTCCCGCCATTCATTCTGTGTGGTGTAAGTTTTATGTCCGATATACCATTCTCTCCTTTCATTCTGTGTGGTGTAAGTTTTATGTCCGATATACCCTTCCCGCCTTTCATTCTGTGTCGTGTAAGTTTTATGTCCTATATACCCTTCCCTCCTTTCATTCTGTGTGGTGTAAGTTTTATGTCCGATATACCCTTCCCGCCTTTTATTCTGTGTGGTGTAAGTTTTATGTCCGATATACCCTTCCCGCCTTTCATTCTGTGTGGTGTAAGTTTTATGTCCGATATACCCTTCCCGCCTTTCATTCTGTGTGGTGTAAGTTTTATGTCCGATATACCCTTCCCGCCTTTCATTCTGTGTGGTGTAAGTTTTATGTCCGATATACCCTTCCCGCCTTACATTCTGTGAGGTGTAAGTTTTATGTCCGATATACCCTTCCCTCCTTTAATTCTGTGTGGTGTAAGTTTTATGTCCGATATAGCCTTCCTTCCTTTGATTCTGTGTGGTGTAAGTTTTATGTCCGATATACCCTTCCCTCCTTTCATTCTGTGTGGTGTAAGTTTTATGTCCGATATACCCTTCCCTCCTTTCATTCTGTGTGGTGTAAGTTTTATGTCCGATATACCATTCCCTCGTTTCATTCTGTGTGGTGTAAGTTTTATCTCCTATATACCATTCCCTCCTTTCATTCTGCGTCGTGTAAGTTTTATGTCCGATATACCATTCCCTCGTTTCATTCTGTTTGGTGTAAGTTTTATGTCCGATACACCCTTCACGCCTTTTATTCTGTGTGGTGTAAGTTTTTTGTCCGATATACCCTTCCCGCCTTTCATTCTGTGTTGTGTAAGTTTTATGTCCGATATACCATTCCCTCCTTTCATTCTGTGTGGTGTAAGTTTTATGTCCGATATACCCTTCCCGCCTTTCATTCTGTGTGGTGTAAGTTTTATGTCCGATATACCCTTCCCGCCTTTCATTCTGTGTTGTGTAAGTTTTATGTCCGATATACCCTTCCCGCCTTTCATTCTGTGTTGGTGTAAGTTTTAAGTCCGATATAATTTTCCCGCCTTTCCTCCTGTGTTGCAGAGTAAGTTCTCCCATTTCCGATATGCCCGATATGCCCATCCCCTTTCCTTTCCTCCTGTGTGGTGTAAGTTCTATGTCCGATATACCCTTCCCTCCTTTCATTCTGTGTGGTGTTAGCTATATGTCCGATATACCCTTGCCGCTTTTCCTCCTGTCGGAGTAAGTTCTATGTCCGATATTCCCTTCCCGCCTTTCCTTCTCTGTTGAGTAAGTTTTATGTCCGATATAGCCTTCCAGCCTTTCATTCTGAGTGGTGTAAGTTATATGTCCGATATACCCTTCCCGCCTTTCATTCTGTGTGGTGTAAGTTTTATGTCCAATATTCCATTCCCGCCATTCATTCTGTGTGGTGTAAGTTTTATGTCCGATATACCCTTCCCTCCTTTAATTCTGTGTGGTGTAAGTTTTATGTCCGATATACCCTTCCCTCCTTTCATTCTGTGTGGTGTAAGTTTTATGTCCGATATTCCATTCCCGCCATTCATTCTGTGTGGTGTAAGTTTTATGTCCGATATTCCATTCCCGCCATTCATTCTGTGTGGTGTAAGTTTTATGTCCGATATACCATTCCCGCCTTACATTATGTGTGGTGTAAGTTATATCTCCGATATACCCTTCCCGCCTTTCATCCTGTATGGTGTAAGTTTTATGTCCGATATTCCATTCCCGCCATTCATTCTGTGTGGTGTAAGTTTTATGTCCGATATACCCTTTCCGCCTTCCATTCTGTGTGGAGTAAGTTCTATGTCCGGGATACCCTTCCCGCCTTTCCTTCTGTGTGGTGTTAGCTATATGTCCGATATACCCTTGCCGCATTACATTAGTGTAAGTTATATGTCCGATATACCCTTCCCACCTTACACTCTGTGTGGTGTAAGTTTTATGTCCGATATACCTTTCCCGCTTTTCATTCCGTGTGGTGTAAGTTATATGTCCGATATACCCTTCCCTCCTTTCATTCTGTGTGGTGTAAGTTTTATGTCCGATATACCATTCCCTCGTTTCATTCTGTGTGGTGTAAGTTTTATGTCCTATATACCCTTCCCGCCTTTCATTCTGTGTTGTGTAAGTTTTATGTCTGATATACCATTCCCTTCTTTCATTCTGTGTGGTGTAAGTTTTATGTCCGATATACCCTTCCCGCCTTTCATTCTGTGTGGTGTACGTTTTATGTCCGATATACCCTACCCGCCTTTCATTCTGTGTTGTGTAAGTTTTATGTCCGATATACCCTTCCCGCCTTTTATTCTGTGTGGTGTAAGTTTTAAGTCCGATATACCCTTCCCGCCTTTCATTCTGTGTTGGTGTAAGTTTTAAGTCCGATATAATTTTCCCGCCTTTCCTCCTGTGCAGAGTAAGTTCTATGTCCGATATGCCATTCTCTCCTTTCATTCTGTGTGGTGTAAGTTTTATGTCCGATATACCCTTCCCGCCTTTCATTCTGTGTCGTGTAAGTTTTATGTCCTATATACCCTTCCCTCTTTTCATTCTGTGTGGTGTAAGTTTTATGTGCGATATACCCTTCCCGCCTTTTATTCTGTGTGGTGTAAGTTTTATGTCCGATATGCCCATCCCACCTTTCCTCCTGTGTAGAGTAAGTTCTATTTCCGATATGCCCTTCCCGCCTTTCATTCTGTGTGGTGTTAGCTACATGTCCGATATACCCTTGCCGCTTTTCCTCCTGTCGGAGTAAGTTCTATGTCCGATATTCCCTTCCCGCCTTTCCTTCTCTGTTGAGTAAGTTATATGTCCGATATACCCTTCCCGCCTTTCATTCTGTGTGGTGTAAGTTTTATGTCCAATATTCCATTCCCGCCATTCATTCTGTGTGGTGTAAGTTTTATGTCCGATATACCCTTCCCTCCTTTAATTCTGTGTGGTGTAAGTTTTATGTCCGATATACCCTTCCGTCCTTTCATTCTGTGTGGAGTAAGTTCTATGTCCGGTATACCCTTCCCGCCTTTCCTTCTGTGTGGTGTTAGCTATATGTCCGATATACCCTTGCCGCATTACATGAGTGTAAGTTATATGTCCGATATACCCTTCCCACCTTACACTCTGTGTGGTGTAAGTTTTATGTCCGATATAACCTTCCCGCCTTTCATTCTGTGTGGTGTAAGTTTTATGTCCGATATACCATTCCCACCTTTCATTCTGTGCGGAGTAAGTTCTATGTCCGATATACCCTTCCCGCCTTACATTATGTGTGGTGTAAGTTTTATGTCCTGTATAACCTTCCTGCCTTTCATTCTGTGTTGTGTTAAGTTTATGTCCGATATACCCTTCCCACCTTTCATTCTGTTTTGTGTAAGTTGGATGTCCGACATAACCTTCCGCCTTTCATTCTGTGGTGTAAGTTTTATGTCCGATATACCATTCCCGCCTTTCATTCTGTGTGGTGGAAGTTTTATGTCCGATATACCATTCCCGCCTTTCATTCTGTGTGAAGTAAGTTTCATGTCCGATATACCCTTCCCTAATTAATTCTGTGTGGTGTAAGTTTTATGTCCGAAATACCATTCCCGCCTTTCATTCTGTGTGGTGTAAGTTTTATGTCCGATATACCCTTCGCTCCTTTCATTCTGTGTGGTGTAAGTTTTATGTCCGATATACCATTCCCGCCTTTCATTCTGTGTGGTGTAAGTTTTATGTCCTATATACCATTCCCTCCTTTCATTCTGCGTCGTGTAAGTTTTATGTCCGATATACCCTTCCCTCCTTTCATTCTGTGTCGTGTAGGTTTTATGTCCGATATACCATTCCCTCCTTTCATTCTGTGTGGTGTAAGTTTTATGTCCGATATACCCTTCCCTCCTTTCATTCTGTGGTGTAAGTTTTATGTCCGATATACCATTCACTCCTTTCATTCTGTGTGGTGTAAGTTTTATGTCCGATATACCCTTCCCGCCTTTCATTCTGTGTGGTGGAAGTTTTATGTCCGATATACCCTTCCCGCCTTTCATATGTCTGATATCGCCCTTAGATCGTAGGATATCTGATATACACACACCCTCCTTTCAGTCTTATTTATAGATGTAACATAGTCAATATATTCATCCCAGCCTTTTGTTCTGAACACTTTAAATCAAATGCAGTTTGCTTGTTTCAACCTTGAGCCGTACCCAAATCAGTTGAGATGTCCGAGAACTACTAATTTAAAGTTAAAAGATCATGTATAAATGCAGCAAATTTGGAGAAGTTGGGCCACGAACGCCTGGATGCAGGCATACACGCAGTCACAAAGATAATTACAAGGACAAGAATCAGAATTATTTTAGAAACATAAATTATACCGTTTGAACTGTTCTGGTAAATGTGGACGATTCTGTTATATTATTGTGACCTGAAAGTAGAAACAAAATTCATTTCAGATTTTCCTTTTTATAAATATTGGATTAAATTATTTTGGCATTTTAAAATAACAGTAAAATGAGACAGTACACAGTGAGAGTTTTGCTTGAGTGGGAATTGCCGCATAATATAAGTGAGTGAATAATTGACGAGTACAAAAATAATTATAAACTCTTAAGATGCTCTCAAATAATAATGGAGGTTAACTCAGTTAACACAGGTTACATATCCGCAAAGGAATATGCAAATGATTTCTTTATTTGTGCTTCCCCATAAAAACTAAATCATATTCCGCACATCGATCGCCTTAAGTTTTTAGTTTAACCGGGAGCAGAATCGCAGTAAATAGGGTTTTACGAAATTGTGGACTGTTTATCGCAGTTCTGGTCGCTACACAACAGTTATCTTGTGGGGCAGGTTACCAATCTTTGTGGTGAACCTGTCACGCCCTGGAAAGGAAAGTGTGCTTGCTTTAGTAAGGGTAAATAACTCTAATCACCTCAAACAACATTCTTTTACTTGACACGACGATAGACTCAATCCGATTTGGGTTAACTAAATAGTGGTGGGTATTTCATACTGAAATTTTTAAATAATTGTCCCAGTCCTTGCTTCAAGTTTTATTGATTATTGGAACCTAAAATGAAACTGAAACATTACAATGAAATGGGTATTTGGGGAGTACTGCACTTTACCGGGCGCACTTTTTTAGATTAATTAGCGCTGTTGGGGTTCCCTAACCCTAGCCCTTACCCCTAACCCTAAGGATCGTAAAGGGTGCCTAACCCTAAACCCTAAGGATCGTAAAGGGTGGCATACCCTAACCTTTACGATCCTTAGGGTTAGGGGTAAGGGCTAGGGTTAGGGAACCCCAACAGCGCTAATTAATCTAAAAAAGTGCGCCCGGTAAAGTGCAGTACTCCCGGTATTTGTTGATTCCTTGTTAAAGGGGTTAGACACTTGCCATCAAATATTAGCTTCAGTGTGTTCAGTAATAACTATAGATAAATGCCAGTCTAACGTGCTAAGAACCAATTACTGGGACATACCAAGTTACAGATAAAAAATCTATAAGTTGTTAAAAGCACAGCGGCTTGTCGCGCCAAAACTGCCATCAAGTTATATACTGTTATAGCATGGTCAATGTGGGCATAGATTACTTACACTCTACTGTGGTGTGAGGTCGTTTATTTCAGTGGATGTATGGATCGTGAGATTGATAAATGACACCCTGTACACACGGTAGGAGAGGTAAACAGCAGGAAATATTTCATAGCAGGAAGTGAACGATTTATCATGTGAGAGGAGAGCTGGTTTTATTTTTTAGTTGTAGGAAAATAGACTGTACTTCAGTAGACTGATCCAGTCCCAGCCGATAAGCCCTGCCCTCTAGCTCACCGATGTATCCAGCCCATTCACTGCCTCCAATCTTGTTTTTCTATAATGCGGCAGAAGGGAATCATGGTAGTATAAATAGATGTTTTTTCTCACAACTAACTGTAACAGTTATCGCCATTTAGAATTTCTCATGCCATTCGTGAAATAATAAATATATTCATATCATACAGTTACATCGAATAATTGTTTGTGTGACTATTTGAGTGTTTCTTTTACAGTAGATTGATAGGGAATGAAACTATGACTTGTGAACTTGAACTTGCTATTATATTGGTTGTGGGACATCCTCTCGACTAAGTTAATATTTTTTATAGGGTTCATAACGTTATCTTTAATTTTTCTCTTATCTTACTTACCGTGAAGAATTTTCTTTTGCTGTCCTTTGGCTTTATTGTTGTCAAATACCGTGGCGGAAAAAAATACCGGAATTGTAATTGACTTGAACTGTGCGCCTGTGATACTGATGTATTGATGAAAAATCATATCAGCCAGCTGCTAAGAGTGGGAAGCGTATTTTCTTTCAAACCAATCTGTCAGGCAATTCACATTCGTCAAAGATATAAGCAGAGCAAGGGTAACTGAATTTTGTTGTTTGGGGTTTTTTTCCCCGCAAAAAATCCCCTCATTATTTTATAAAAACCTTGAACACAACCACACGTGCAAGTTGCTGATCGTTTCTTTATCTATGAATAATCTGCCAACACTGCCTCTATTTATTTATCCATTGTTCAAATTTAGTTAAACCAATAATCTGAAAATATGTATTTCTTATCTTTTAATGAATTAAAAGAATGGTAAATAAAAGTTAAGTTAGTTCAAAGCTTTTTGTCAATAAAATTACATATTGACAAAATTATTGCTTCTTAAAGAATAATAACCTTTTACTGGATGTGAGGCTATATCCCAAGAGGACATAACACTAATTTTGATTTGTTTCCTTTTCTGAGGTACTTACTAAAGTACTGTCGGAAATGCTAGAAAAATGCTTTTTGACTTATATTTAAAATTCAGAGGTATTACAGTTACTTAAATAACAAATATCACTTTTAGAAACATCTACCTAATGTAGACCGAGGGAATAGATTTTGAGACATGCCCTAAAATGTGTTTTTACTGATGAAAATACCAAAAACTTAGAAAAATAACGGGTAGTGGGACGTTATTTGATACAAACATTAACTGCCTGTGTTACGTCATCAGCATGCACGGTATCGACAAGTGAAATTGACACCTGAGCATATTGTAAACTTGTTGGTAAGACATACCAATAAACCCTTTCTAAACTAATGAAAGGTTTACCTCTGTCTTTTTCAAGCACAAAAAACGTATAAACCTTTGCAACAATTGACTGCAAATAGTTGGCCATAGTGGACGCTGTGATAAAGATATGCATGCATGACGGGAAACTTATTTATCAAGACTTAACATTTATATTAATATTTCTTCAATAAAGAAACGATAATTAAGTAAAGTAACACAAACATTCAACATTTATTTGTTAAAGAAAAACGTTGATTCATATTTTTACACCACCTGTATTATTAGCATAAATGTAAAGACTATTTCAGATTTCTGTTGTTGAACTCTGAAAAAATCTTAAGTTGTTGTTTTGGTACCATATTCTCTCCTGTAAACTGCCCTTTAAATGCATGGGAATGTTAAATCGATTGGAAAAAAAATTAGGTACACTATAGGCGAGTTGATATATTGACAACATAGTACATTTATCACCTTTATCAAAGTATTAAGGCTAAAAAGCATTTTTCTAGCATTTCCGACAGTACTTTAATTGTCATAAAAGTGTACTAAAGTTGTTCACAAATTTGGTAAAGTTGTAACAAAAGTTTAAAAAACACATGAAAATGCCCTGAAGCCTTCACCATCTGCAAACCAGTGTGCAAGTAAATATGAAGCTCATATTCCAAATAACCATCAACAAACCTTGATCAATTTGTCAAAAACCAACATGTCAATAAATGCTAAGCTCTGGTTCAGTCATCAAATATTGGAAACCACCTCCAGGGGTGGAAATAACTTTTAATATTGCTAGTGTACTCCGGTACAGTGGCACATGTAAAATCACTTGCCCTGATAATTTTTCCACTAGACCGGCCGTTTTCTTGTTGATTTTTTAAATAAACAACATAATTAACATTGGAAAGTCAACTGGACATCGGTACAGTGTGATATACAAATTTGCTTGCCCGACAGACAAAAACACTGGACTCGGACGTCGGGCAATGGGTTATTTCCACCCCTGCACCTCAACTCCTGATGATTCTTAATAAGAATTACATCAAATTGGGTTAAACATGATTAAATATTGATTCAAGTTATATGAAAAATCATTTGAGAATTTTGTAATTTTATGTGACCAAAATGTAGCCTTTGTGTTTTTCAAATTATCTTGATGTTGAAATAACTTTCATGAGTTATGATACTAGTAATAAATTTTAGCATTATCCTTTCAGTAAATATTGTATTAAAAACCAAAAAACAAAGATGTCTTAATGCAGGCGCCAACAAGCTCAGTTAAGACCAAGTCATTGTTCTGCCATGATATGTATAGTGTTTGTTTGCCTAGTTCTGCCTTAAAATCATATTTATGTGATATGTCAATCAATTGAATAATTATTAATAACTTAATTATATTATTATTTATTTTATTACCTTTCCATGTTTACTAGAGGACACAAGGTTATTAAAACATGGCTTGCTATTATTTCCAGTGATTTAATTAAATTGAGAGTTGTGTTATTTCACTGAAAATGCACCAATATACCTCCCCTTCATGTAAATAATTTATGATATAATAAAAATTCAAAACAGGGCTCGATTTAAGAGAGGTTAGTCTACTTGCACCAGGTGCAACCTAAGATAAAAACCTAGTTGCACCAGCCAAATTCCAGTTGCAAAGTAGTGTGATAAAACGTCAGAGGTTTTGGTGCACATAAACATATTTCCGTGATGTAGTACCTATGAAACCATAGCCACACAGAGACACAGCTGATCCCTGTTTACAAGAGCTGTCATAGCCGAAACGTGTACTTGAATAGCATTATTTCAGTGCCATAGCTATTCAGAGATTAAGAAGAAAAATGAGCTGACATATTTATGCTTATAATGTTAGATTTATTGTTGATTATATCTCAAAAATAATTTTTTCTCGAAAATATTTGTAATATTGCGTTGCACCAGTGCAAGTAACAAAGCACTAAATCGAGCCCTACAAAACAAATAATGTACTCTTTGTTAAGAAATACACTTTTACTTCACTCTGACCAATATTCCAGCAGTTCACTATACTTTGCACGACTCTACACCACCACCACCCCACCCCCCTCCTATTGTTTCAAGCTACTAATTAGTACCTCTAGCTCCTCTCCTGGCTGTTCTCTTAGGTGTACTCCCTCCCCTGTAACTGGATTAACTGCTACTATTAATTAGGTCCACTCCCATTTGTGAGACTCCCAGTTATGAGACAGTGGAGTAGGTAAGTAATTGACAAAGAAAACACACCATACTCCCCTGTCTGATTGACTGGATTAACCCGAGCTAATTATTGGAATCTTTTGGAGGTAACTTAATGAAACTATAAGATAAATTGATTAACATACTCAGGTAAATGTCCTTAAAAAGTAAACACTTTGTGTAGGTAACTTCGTGTTCATTTGAAAGAGAAATTAATTTACCTACTCAGATTTACCATGTCTCCGAAACTACAAGCCATAGTTTAAGAAATAACTCTGAAATACAAGGAAATGCCTCTTATGCCAAATCCTTTTTACCCGACAAAATAAATATATGGAATGCCCTACCAAGAATCATGTAGTCTCACAGAATTTAAAAACCTAATTACAAAAACCGAAAACAAGATTATTATTGACCTTAATTATGGCTCTTGTTTTTGTCAAATCATTCACTGCTGCCTCAGGCTCGGATGTAGTGACCTAAATGCTGATAAGTATAACAGACGGTCCATGTTGCTCTTTTCGATATCAGAGTGAAAACGCCCTACACTATTTTCCCACTTGATAAGAATTAATATGTATTTTACACTACCCGTTATAACCTGGATACCATTTTGAACGAAACAAGAATTTACTTCTTGTGTAAACCAGAAAATAGTTGAATCTGTCCACGATCACATCATCAAGACACAACGCTTCAAATTTTCTCAGGAAAATACTTAAATCAACTCAACAACCTTCTCATGATGGATTTATATTCCTACAATAGCTTGTTAGACACACATAACTGTAACTCTCTAATTATGACTACTTAGAGAAGAGTTGTATTTGATGTAATCTTTATATATTTATATGTACTTAAAAATATATTTATGCAACAGTCAATATTGATGACGTCACATCCTCCATTTCATTTTGTATTTTATGTTGCAAGGGAGCGGTGTTAACATAAGCAGTAATGCTTGTTCACCAATCCCAATTCATTTTCATAAATGATAAAAAATATGTTTAAACCAAAATGACTTTCAAACTTCATAATAGTCAATTAAAATGTGTTATCATAATTACATATTCTTCTGAATAAATAAAATATGTAATGAACTATTTCTTCTGTGTAAATAAAATCTTTGATAATCTATTTCATTAATCAACTCATCAATGAACTATGCCTCCTATGGGTACTCTTCAACAACAGGGCTGATCCCACTTTCATTGTAGGGATGTGGAAACACCACCTATGTGCACTGAACCATTAATTAATGTGTCTCACAATTGGGAGTTCTCGTTTAGTCAGGTGTTGGTTGTGAGTAGGTGACTACCGTACTTGTTATAGATACAATGTAATAGAGAATCACGGCTCAGTGATCATTATTGTCCAGTAGATGATCACTGTTGCTAATAATTGACAAAACAAATATGAAGATTCTATATTTGTTTACATTCACAAATATATTAATTCAGATCTTGAATCTTGTCATCTCTATCTACATATTGCTTCCTACGTTTGGGAGCAGGCTGTCCACACTTAATTTGCAAAAGCTGTACTTTGCTGGACAGTTCCTCGTGGATAAATAAATGGTTGTTGGCTTCTTGGACCGTCATACTTAATCTATCATATGTCAAAACTTCAAACACCTAGCGAGCTTAGTAGAAGTTAATCCAGTTACACGGGAGTGAGGACAGCTAACAGAACAGCCAAGCGAGGGGCTAGAGGTACTAATTAGTGGCTTGTAAAAAAGTGTTTGCAGCCCCTAAATGCTCCCTATTGTTTTATCATTTAATGTGGATCCGATTCCGCAGTCCCACTTTTATACCCTTTAATTAGTCTAATTCCGCTTTCCAATCCTGTTTTTAGTGGTTCTTTTGTCTCTCATTAAATGGCTACCAAATCAAACCCTGCACCAAAATCTGTGTCTCAAGTTACAGGGTATTCTAGTGGAGGCAGATCAAGAAATTCAGAATCTTCGATTCGTTCGCAATTATCAGGACAACAATCAGCTAGACTTAACAAGCTTAAGAAGCAGTCTCAGTTAAATGAACTTAAAATTAGATGCCAAGAAGAAAAGAGAATCGACAAGGAACTTGAGAGTTTAAATGAAAGATCATTTCTGGCTCAGAGACGGGCGGAGGAGGAAATCAAGCTTGCTCACAAGAAGGCTCAGGAAACTGAGCGTCAGGCAATTCGTGACCGTGAGAAGCTCCAGAACAGACTTTCCATTCTCCGACAGGTGAGACAAGCCGAGGCTGAACTCCAAGAAGCCGAATTAATTGACTCTATGGTCAACCACTCTAACTCTAATCAGCCAGTGGAATCTAATGTGACACATACAACATTAACCACCACTGAGGTGCTTCCACCACCAACTCAATCCAGTGTTAATCCACCCCTGAATAATCCTACATCTGAGATTCAACCATCACCCGTTCAGTCAAGTGAAGAAGTGTCCATTCAGCAAACAGTGCCGAAGCATCAAGCCACGTCCCGGACGGACCCAACCCATCCATCAGCATTCCCTAGGAGACAACCCTATACAGGAAACACACAGCCTGACTTCCTCCAAGTCCCTGCAGCTTATCATCCACCAAGTGTAATGCCAACTCATCCACTACACTTAGCAGCGCCAACTCACCCACCGTACCTACCGACGCCAGCACCTACTCCAAGTACAAGTGAACTGTTGATTGCCTCAACGTTCGGCGCTCCGAGGCCCACCTTACCAATGTTTTCCAGTGGTAGAGCTAAGGACTTTGCAGTGTTAAGAATGGCTTTGCACAATTTGCTTGATGTTCACCAGCATCTTTCAGAAGCATACAAGTACCAAGTCTTACTTGGCAGACTGGATGGACCACCCAGGAAACTCGCTGAAGCCTACCTTCACGACATTACCCCCTACAGGAGTGCTATACAGGCCTTAAAGGACAAGTACGGACAACCCCGCCAGCTTGTGCAGAGCGAAACAGCCTTTTTCATGAACATGGCACCTGTTCGTGTTGGAGACAGTGAAGCATTCGACAATCTTTCCCTTGCAGTTCATCGTCTGGCCGGCATGCTCCAATCCATTGAAGGTGAAAATGGCTATGAACTAAGGTGTGGATCCCACGTCGATCGCTTGATGGGTAAGCTTCCGCCAGCTAATAGAGACAGTTTCGTCGAATATTGTCTCAACAAGGGAATCATCGGGAGTGATCACGACCAGAGCTATACGCTTATCCACTTCTCTGAGTGGTTGAAAACCAAAGCACTTGCCAAGCGCATTTCAAGTCAAGCAACTACTCTCTACAGACAGGATCCCCCTACCAGGACTGACAGCAGCGATAGGAGGAGCAAAGGTTTCCAAAACTGTCCTAACAAGAATGTACCTACTGCTGTGTTCAACATTAGGGACCGAACAATCGTGAAAAATCCCACTTCAGCGAAACCTCCCAGTAACCCGTCGCTTCCTTACCGGACATTTTGTGCCTTCTGCAGTGCATCAGATCACCACCTCAGTGTTTGCCAGACTTTCAAGACATTGTCAACTGATGACAAAATCCAGTGGATCAGATCCAAAAAATAGATGCTGGAAATGTGCCCGCACTCACGACACTGAACAGTGTAATCTGAAGAAGCCATGCCACATCTGTAACGAGATCCACCTTACCGTATTGCATGACACAGTACAGACTGTTTCAAAGAAAGTGTACTCTATCGGGGTGAAGGATCAGCCTCTGTATGTTGACCAACCTTCACTTCCCCACAGCGTAATGTTGAAGATAGTGCCAGTGTTGCTGTCTGGACCACAAGGAGCCATAGAGACATTCGCAGTGCTTGATGACGGGTCACAGAGAACAATGATCATGACCACAGCAGTCAAACGACTTGGACTTCAAACCAAACCAGATAATGTACTTCTGACCACCATTCGTCGAGAATCCTTCACCTGTAAAGGTGAGACAGTCAACCTCGAGATCTCACCAAGGGACAATCCTAACCTCAGGCTTCCCATTACCCGGAGCCTTCAGCTCAGAACACTTATGCCTGTCTGAATATACCTATCCAGTTGAGTCCCTCCAACAACAGTGGCAACACCTCCAAGTTGCCACCCTGCCTGAAGTGAATAGAGCCACTCCACTTATCCTCGTCGGCTCAGACCATGCCGATCTCATCCTACCCATGCAACCCATACAATTTGGTCCCACCGGAACTCCAGTAGCCGTCTGCACGAAACTAGGATGGTCCCTGCAAGGTCCTAGTCCCTCGTCGCAAGGATCTTCCAATCCGGACCGATGTCTACTTACCTCAACCAAACCCCTGCTTAAAGGTGATCTCCTTGAAAATGTGGCCAGACTCTGGCAGATCGACGTCTTGCCATATACAGGGAAGGATGTCACACGTTCAAAACAGGACAAACAAGCTATCACCACGCTTGACTCCGGGACAGTAAAGATAGACGTGGATGGTGAGACTCACTATGCTACTCCCCTACTTCGGAAGCAGGCTGATGCACAACTCAGTGGAAGTAAAGGCATAGTAATCCCCCTATCTAAAGAGAACCGAAAGAAGGCTTGAAAAACAACCCAACCTCGCTGAAATACATCGCGACCAGATTCACAAACTGGTTGATGCGGGATATGTTAAAGCAATATCGGACGAAAAGGCTGAAGCAACCAGCGAATCCTGGTACATTCCCCACCATGTTGTCAAGAATAATGACAAACACAGGCTTGTGTTTAACTGTTCCTTCGAACACAATGGAGAGTCACTGAACTCCAACCTTCTCCCTGGACCCACACTCGGCTCCTCACTCCTGGGTGTTTTCTTGCGTTTCCGACAACACGCCGTTGCGGTAACCGGTGACATCAAGGCGATGTTCCATCAGATACGTCTCTTACCTGAAGATCGACCCTTGCTCAGATTCCTGTGGCGTGATATGAAACGAGAAGAAACCCCCATCGTATACGAATGGCAGGTTCTACCATTCGGCACCACCTGCAGCCCATGCTGCGCCACTTTCGCGCTTCAGAAGCATGTCATGGACAACATTGAGGGTAATGAGGATGTAGCCAGGTGTATTAACCAGGCCTTCTATGTTGACAACTGCTTGGATAGCACGCCTACTGTTGAAGAGGCTCAGCAGTTAGTGAGCAAGACTCGTTCAGTTCTAGCTAAAGGTGGCTTAAATATCAGACAATGGGCTAGCAACATCCCTGATGTAGTGAAAGACCTACCCCCTGAGTCCCGATCAGACAATTGTGAACTTTGGTTGAACTTTGGACGAACTGGTGAAACACAAGAGCCGACGCTAGGTCTCCGTTGGCAATGTGATACTGATGCGATCACCTACAGATATCGACCCATTGAGTACACCGAACTCACCATGAGGGTCATCTACCCTACCCTTGCCACACAGTACGATCCCATAGGCTACCTGTGTCCATTTACCGCCCGTGCCAAGATACTTGTTCAAGAATTATGGAAGGGACAAACCAGTTGGGAAAAGGTGATCACTTCTGGACTGGTCTATGAAGCCTGGATGAAGTGGGAGGGTGAGCTACCCCAACTCCCACAGATTAGACTCCCCGGGTGCTACACCCCACACAACCTGAACATCGACAACTCCTCGGTGATTAGACAGCTCCACATATTCTGTGACGCATCAGAACGGATATATGGATCTGTTGCCTACCTCCGATCGGAAGATGTGAATGGGACCACAGGTGTCAGCTTTGTTGCCGCAAGGAGTCGAGTTGCTCCTAAGAAACAGTTATCTATCCCGCGTTTGGAATTGTGTGCTGCACTCACAGGGGCCCAACTCGCTGAAATGCTTAGCAAAGAACTGACTGTATCCATTGACAGTGTGAACCTATGGAGCGATTCTACAACAGTTCTGACATGGCTGCTTTCCGACTCCTGCCAGTACAAGGTGTTCGTAGGAACCAGAGTATCTGAAATACAGAACCTGACCGATATCAACAACTGGCGCTATGTGAATACCAAGGATAACCCGGCTGATGACATTACTTGCGGCAAAACCCTTGCAGAGTTATGTGGTACATCGCGATGGCAAAGTGGGCCATTATTCCTATGTGACAAACCGGAACGTTGGCCGAATCCCCGGCCAACATCAAGTGCAATTACCGAAGATACCTGTGAACTGAAGAAAACATTCTGCCTTACTGCTACTGTTGAACCTATGCCAGAGTTTCTGAACTACCACACCTGGGACCTGCTTGTAACTGCCACAATGCAGCTACCAGACGGGGCGGCTTCCTCCTCCAGTCCATGCATGAGTCGACGACAACAGGCCGAGGTAAAACTATATCGTCAGGTACAGACAGACAGTTTCTCAGAAGATTTGACAGCCCTGATGGCTGGCAAACCAGTGCAATCTTCCAGCAAACTACTCCAGTTGGACCCAGAGTATGACAGGATTGACGGCATGATCCGAGTCGGGGGAAGGCTGAGACAAGTGGACATCCTACCTCACAGTGCTAAACACCCCATTGTTCTCGACCCTAAACACCACATCACCAGACTCATCATAAAGGACTATGATGAGAAACTTCTCCACGCGGGGGCCGAGCGCATCCTAGCTGAAACCCGCAGATTCTTTTGGATTATTCAGGGAAGAGAAGCTATCCGTCGTCAGCAGAGAACCTGTACAGAGTGTCAGACCTGGCGTGCCAAACCCAACACACCAAAAAGGGCAGACCTACCTCTTGCCCGGCTTCGACTGTTCCGACCGTCATTTTTCTCCACTGGAGTGGACTGTTTTGGACCCATGAGAATCAAGATTGGACGACGGAACGAGAAACGTTGGGGAATACTGTTTAAGTGTATGACTTCCAGAGCTGTCAATCTCGATCTACTAGATAGCATGGATGCTGACTCCTTCCTCATGGCGTTCAGACGTTTCATCTCGCATAGAGGCAAGCCCAGTGAGCTGCTGTCCGACTGTGGCACAAACTTCAAGGGTGGTGAGACAGAGCTCCTCGAAGCCTTCAACGCCATGAAACCGGAGATGGCTAATCAGCTTGAGAAACAGGTCAAATTTCAGTTTAACCCTCCATATGCACCGCATTTTGGTGGAGCCTGGGAAAGGGAGATTCGATCTGTCAAGAATGGACTGAAGGTTACACTTGGTGATCAATCTGTAACTGAACCTGTGTTGAGAACCGTTCTCATAGAAATTGAGGGCATTCTCAATTCGAAACCACTGGGGTATGTACCTACCGATATCTCAGACGCTGAACCTGTGACTCCCAATGTGCTTCTCATGGGGCGGCGAGACCCTTCACTGCCACAGGTAGTATACCCGCAGAATGAACTCCTAGGAAGACGACGGTGGCGCCACAGCCAAGTATTGCCGATCAGTTCTGGCGTCACTTTCTCAAGTTCTACCTTCCCACCCTACAGATGCGCCATAAATGGCAGAAGGACTGTCGTGCACTACAGTGTGGTGATACTGTAATAATTGTTGACCCACAATTCCTCAGATGCCAGTGGCCAGTAGGACGGGTCGCCGAGACTTTCCCCGGTACCGATGGACGGACACGCAGAGTGAAAGTGATGGTCAGCGACAAGGAGTATCTCCCGACCTGTGACACGGGTGGTGCGTCTCCCAGAACTCCAGAATGACGGAGACGATGAAACACAGTGACTCTACCTCGTATCTTAAGTCCAAGAGGACAGTGTCTGACTTTATTTCCAGGGACTGTAACATGGTCAAGTGGACCTACTTTTTAATTTGCAAATTTTGTGTCTAAATTTGGGGGCGGCTGTAAAAAAGTGTTTGCAGCCCCTAAATGCTCCCTATTGTTTTATCATTTAATGTGGATCCGATTCCGCAGTCCCACTTTTATACCCTTTAATTAGTCTAATTCCGCTTTCCAATCCTGTTTTTAGTAGTTCTTTTGTCTCTCATTAAATGGCTGCCCACATGGCAGGTCAACTGAACATGTGCTCTTTGTCTGATTCCATAGCCTAACCGCTATCCGGTCCATACGCTGATATAGCCACCAATATCCAGCTACTACCCACCTATACCTCATTTACATGTGGTCAGTGTTTGCAGCCCCTAAATGCTCCCTATTGTTTTATCATTTAATGTGGATCCGATTCCGCAGTCCCACTTTTATACCCTTTAATTAGTCTAATTCCGCTTTCCAATCCTGTTTTTAGTAGTTCTTTTGTCTCTCATTAAATGGCTGCCCACATGGCAGGTCAACTGAACATGTGCTCTTCGTCTGATTCCATAGCCTAACCGCTATCCGGTCCATACGCTGATATAGCCACCAATATCCAGCTACTACCCACCTATACCTCATTTACATAGTGGCTTATAACAGCAGGGGGCTAGGGGAACGGGGGCTAGAGGAATTATGCCCTTTACACATAGTTTTCCTCTGGAGTAAGGTAATTCAATACAAGGTCCCATCTCTTCATAAAAATTCTGAAATATGCAAGTCATACATTTTATAGGCATTCGTATGAATTAATTTTGCATTGATTTAGAGCGATAGGCATCTGCTCACATTGACTCCTCGAATAGTTTGCGCTACAGGCCTTCAGATTGTGATTTTGAAACTTTGAAAAATATAAAAATGTGTGACAAATTTAAGAATATCTAAGACACAAGGCAACAATATCCACCACATTGTTCTTTTATGTAAAAGATTTTCCTATTGCGATTGACTCTAACCAAAATCAGATCGCTTTCAGATTTGTTTACATTGTCTCAGGCCTCTCAAACCTGTCTCGTTTCAGCTTTATGGCCGACCTACTCAATGCCCAGTATTGACTAAAATTGTTAAGCAAAAACAGTTTGTCCATGTTTATAACACTTGCAAACTCTTAAACTGCTGCCCATTTCGCAGTGATATTGCTGGAATATTGCTAAAAGCGGAGTAAAACTGAACTCACTCACTCACTTAAACTGCTATTTGTTGTTGTCTGTTAGTAATGGTTTTGCATGTGTGCAGAAGTGGGGAAATTCATGCAAATTCCCACCTTCAATCAGACGTAGGTTTCATGAACGATAGTACCAACATTTAACTGATTGTGAGGCTAATCTCATTGCTTGATCCGCCTCAAATCTTGACCGTAATGGTTTTGTTGAAGGTACTCATCAAATCACAGCAATATGTAACAGATATCGTGAGTGTGAATTGCATAATTCGAAGCACATTGCTTCGGAGGCATCGTTTCTCCGCGGAAGTAAGTCTGACAAATCCACAAAACACGCCCAGCCAGCTGATTGGCCCAAGTTGACTCATGTGCCAGTTTTGATAGACAGACTGGATCAGTCTATTTAGGCTCATTAAGAATAAGCCCCCACATGAGTGTGTCTATGGCAATGTCATAATCTCTTTCCAATGATCCAGTTAGTCAAGGTGAAATTTATGGTTGGTCTGATCCGAACTAAGTGTGGCTAAGGTTGACATTTTAAGTAATTAAACACAGCTCCATTGTTGTTGATGTGTGAGGAAACTGCTAGATAGCATGGATAGGATCACATCTATCAGGTTTTAGTCAAATCACCATTGGTTATTCTGAAAAGTTACAGATAAACCTAGAATCTGTTGAGATGTTTTGGAAAATATATGAACGTCGAAGTGAGATATTGTATAGTGCAAAGACGTATATACATCTTTGGATAATGTTTTGGAAATCACGTTTCACCAAGCCCAGTCATGAGACACCTATTACATCACACTGAGCTGCAACAAATGTATCACCGAATTCCTCATACATTTAAGGATCAATTAACAAATGGGTCACTAAACCAAAATGCCGTGATGAAATCGAATGAAACATATTTAGTGTGAAAGCGAACACTGTGCTGGGGAGACAGCCTTTGACTGAAATGTAACCAATGAAACATTAAGATTTTACACTGTGTAGCATTTTCACAAATTTTGAGACATCCATTAGTCTATTTGTAGCATGCATAGGCTCAATACTTTTATAATAAGGTAGTTATGGTGCCTATAAACTCTGAAATATCTGATCTTTCAGTATTGTCTACAAGATGAAGTCTATGAGGAATGCTGCTGAACTGATGGAATTACTGCAATTACCTGATGAAAAACCTCTCCCTTCAACTGTGTCCACAATCAGATGCCCAGTTTTGGGAAGGATCCATTTTGTAAGGGATCCCAAAGGCATCATGCAGCTCATGTGTGTGTTGTTCTACTGGGTGTATGGAACGTTCTCCAGCTTGTTTATTATCCTAATTCCAAGATATGCAGAGGGGTATATTTCTGGAATCTTCCTGACAGGTGATTATTGTTCATATTTCTTCCCACCATTTTGTTTTCCTTTCACAGCCATTTAAAAGTATGCTTAACATAATGCATGTATGAAGTGTATGTAATTCTTCAAACCTGAGTCAGTTTTCACAACAGATATAGAACGCATTCAGCATATATGCTTCTTGGGACAAACTTGAACAGCAAGCATTACATTCTAAGACACATCTGTTACTGGCAAACAAGGAGAAGTGGAGCACCAACCTGACAATTGACCCTTATTAGCATGTATGAGTGCCGCCCACTGGCGCTTGCCACTGTGAGTGAAGGAGCCCCAGGTTGTCCGCGATCAAGTGTAGTGCTTGTCCGCGATCAAGTGTAGTGCGATGGGTGAAGAGAGAGATTAACCGGTGGCATTCCTAGCATTTAACAGTGCCTGTTTCGAAGATGTACATTCATTCTCTATGTACTTAATAACATTGTATGCCACTTCTTGGGCCTGAGAATGTATTATCTGACCTTGCTTACCTTACCTTGACATGTTTAATTCTCTCGAAATATATATCTATACAGTGGACTCTGGCAATATCGGCCTCTGTAAACACCTGCACTCTGTCTACATCAGCACAAAGTTTCAGTCCTGGCAGAAATGCACTAAATTATCATGTAGAAGCATCTGTAAACATCGTCATCTGTCTACTCAGGATATCGGCATTGTTTTTCAGTCCCAACGAACAAGTTGTTATGAAAACGAATCTGTAAAAACCGGCACATGAAGGCGCAACCCTTTGATGCAATTAGGTCCAAATGATGTAACAACACAATTCGCGGTTACTCCCACGATTATTCAGAAACGGGAAGTGTCAATCAGTTTCTTGTTAATTAGTGAGTGGTACGTGTCACTTACATAGAGTAACTAATAGTGGGCAGTTTGACTGTAAAAACGAGCAAGAGTTTACATGTTATTGATTCCAGGGTATTTAAGGTAAAATTGTATGATGTAAGAACACAATTCGCGCGTTACTCCCGAGATTATTCAGAAATAGGAAGTGTGAGTGGTACGTGTCACTTACATAGAGTAATTAATACATGTAGTGGGCAGTTTGACTGTAAAAACGAGCAAGAGTTTAGTTGATTCGAGAGTATTTTACTATTTAAGGTAAAATCGTATCATGTCAATAGTATAATAGTCAGTATCGCCAAAATGTCTCGGCTGGCAAAACATGCAAGATGTGAGTTGACCTGACAAAATATACCTTGTTTTTATTTGAATGAATAAACATGAATGTGCATTCAGACACTGCCTTGTTTCTTATTCAAACATGTTGTTAATGCTAAAGTGAAACCCTTTGACCCTTTGAAGTGAAAGTACGACAGTGAACTTCCCATGTGTGCCAGCGTCATAAGTGAACTTGCAACCTGCCTAAACCGGGCACTCTGTCAAAACTGGCATTTTTATTTGGTCCTGAGTGATGCCGGTATTGACAGAGTACACTGTATATCCGAATATTACTGACTTGCTAAACCAACCACGTGAGAGTCTTATGAGCAAGGTGTGTGCAGCTAGTTCATCATCATGCACTGCATGTGCACTAACCTGCATCTGCTCTACTTTTCACAAATAAAATGGGTTTGCTCGTTGCCGTGCACCTCCTACTTCTTGTAAACGTGTTCTCTGCGCCGGTCCAACTTATCCTTGTTTGCCAGTAATAGACAATCTTCTAATGGTTATATGGAGCATTTTACAGACACATCAGAGGATCCACATTTTATGTCTATTTAATTAAGAACAGAATCCTCAGATCACAATTCAGCCAGATATGCATTTGTATGTTATGTATCCTATAGGCAGAATCAATGCCACCTCTACCTGGTCATCCCTAAAATGCGCTGAATACCCTGCTTATCCGTTGGTGTGGGCATGTTTGTGATTACTTCAACTTTCATGTGATCAATCTTTAATCCATCCGAGGTTACAACATGTCCCAGATAAGGCACCTCGGTCAGTTTCAGTTTCAGTTTCAGTTTGGATCTCTTCAATTTGATATTTCTGTTCCTGCATCGATCAAGGAACTTGGACAACTTCTCATCATGATCAGCTTCAGCGACTTCATAAGTGTCTCCAACACCATAGATCAGAACATCATCATGTACAGCACGTACTCCATCCAAGCCACATGTTGCCTCATTCAAACGGCGCTGAAACTCCTCAGGTGCTGGTGACAACCCGAATGGCATTCGTAGCCAACGGTAACGGCCACAAGGTGTTTCAAATGTTGTCAAGAAACTGCTTTCCTCCTCCAGTTGGATATGCCAAAATCCATTTTTAGCATCTGCTAAAGTAAAGCACTTAGCGTTTGATAATTCCGGCAGAATGTCATCAATTGTCTTTATTGGATAATGATTCGTCTTGAGAGCTTGATTCAGTGGTTTAGGATCTATGCAAATCCTTATCTTGTCACTACCCTGTTTCTTGACCACAACAAGGGCAGAGATCCAGTCAGTAGGAACATTCACAGGGGTGATGATCTTCAGATCAGCCAGTCTTTCAAGTTCAGCCTTGAGTTTCTGTTGTAAGGCAAGTGGAACCTTACGACATGGTAGCTGGACTGGTGTCACAGTCTCATCTACTTCAAAACGCAACAAACCATCAAGTGTGCCCTCTCCCTCAAATACATCCTTGTAACGATGGATTATGTCCATCAGGTCCGATGTTGCTAACTCTGTAGAAACATCTCCACTACCTGAGATCTGGAAAATGTTCTCAAAGTTCACAGTGATTAGCTGCATTTGTTGAACAGCTATTGCACCAAGTATTGGTGGTGAGCCTCTGTCCCTCATTATCAAGAATTCAATGGTGTATTCACCCTCATTCCTGGGATTTTTGACAGTCACTTCACACTTGCCAACAGTTTGAGATTTCACTCCATTGTACATTCGAAGAGTAGCATTGACCTGTGTTTCCAACTTTTTCAGGTGGGGATCCTGAAACACATTAGCGTAGATAGTCTCTGGCAACACATTGACAGTAGATCCACAATCTAACTGAAATTTGACCTCAGTTTCCTTGATGAGGAGGACAGCAAAAATCTTCCGTAAATACTGTTGACTTTCACCATGTAATTGAAATCTGTTCACATTTTCAACATCCACTGATAAAATATATTCATCCTCAGTATCCTCATCACTCAGTAGTTGAACATTGGCTTGACTTGACTGGCACACATAAGCAAAATGATTTGGTCGTTTACATTTGTTGCAAATTCTTCCCCATGCTGGACATTCCTTCCTGCCGAACACATGACTCGTCCCACAAAATTTGCACTGTAGAGACTGATCACTTCTGGTAGTCAATCCAGGTTTAGTTTCCTTTCCTTTGGGTTTTTTGTAACCTCTAGTTTTACTGATAGCTTGCACATCCTCAGTGTTTGATAGAGATTTTAGTCTAGCAGCTGCTCTCTCATGGGACCTACAGATGTCAATACAATCTTTCAGTGATAGGTTCGAAGACTGCAGCAGTCTCTTGCGAGTGGAGTTATCACAAATGCCCATCACCATTCGATCCCTGATGAGACTATCTTCAAGCGTTCCATAATTGCATGTTTCAGCTAGAGTCCTAAGTGTTGTTACATAAGTATCAACAGATTCAAAGTGTTCTTGATTCCGCTTGTTGAAATTGAACCGTTCCCATGTTTCATTGGTCTTGCCAATGCAGTACGCTTCTAGTTTGTCCAATATTTTCTCAACTTTCCTCCTATCATTTTCACTGTCGAACTGCAACCCATCCAATATGTCTAGAGTTTCAGAATCAATACAAGTTAACAGTGTAGCTGATCTGCATTCATCAGAATCTGTCTTTGTTCGAGAAGCAAGCTCATAGTTTCCCCACATTCGTTTGAACTTTATGAAATTTCTCATCAAATCACCCTTCAGATTAAGCTTAGGAGGCAAAGGAATGTTCATAGGTACATGTATCACTTGTGGTGAAGGAATATTTCCACTTTCATCAGCCATGATTGAGTAGTAGTAGCAGTAGTTTCGCTTATCCATATATTACTCACGACTAGCAATATAATCCGATTCACAGAAACTCCATTAGTCACAGATTCAATATTGTCACACAAAACATCGCATGCTCTCCACTATCGAAATTAGGTGACACTGAACCACGTGCGTCTCTGCTCTTTCAATCAAAAAGATATTCAGTCAGTAATGCACAACAATTTGTAAAGTTTGTTTGTCAGGCGTACTCACTTCTGACACCATGTTAAGTTATATGTCATGTCTGGAGATGTCCTAGGAAGACTCAGATAACATGAAACTGTGGTGGGAGACGAACACTTTACTCCATGTTGGTTTTGGCCTACACAGACGCACGTTGCCCATGGACCAGTCATTGTGTACAGACACTTAGGGAGTAATCATTATGCAACATGGACTTTGTCACAGAAATTCAGTGGCCAGAGGATCTTCTCTTCAACACTGGAATGAAGTACAAGTTACCACAGTCATCCTTACAGCCTGAGATCACCAAGGATTCTTGTGTAACTAACAACAGTGACTTACCAGTCAAATCACCTTCACATCATAGTAGATTTCAAAGTTTTGAAGTAAAAATACATTCATCATGGAAGGGAGAATCAGGGATTTTGATGAAAAAGTTCTGCTTTGCTTATTAACAATATTCAGGGATTAAACTATTGGTTTGTCTTGGGAATTCGGGAAGAAGCTGCCTTCACCTGATGAAACTGGTGCCACAGATGATACTGCAACCATTATGATTAATATTGCAGGAGATTCTATTCAGCCCTTGGCGAATCGGCTATTCAATGGGAAATGTTAAGAGGCGTTGAAAGATAAGAGTTCCACAGGGCTCTAACACTGGCTTCCTCATTGCAACTCAGACTTCAACAGAGTAATCCTTATCAGCACGTGCCCCACAGGGACCTAGCCTGCTGATGCCTACTGAAGAAGTTCTGGTCAGTGAATCTCCGACAGGACAGCAGAAACAAGCAGTCTCATTCCAAGGGATACAGGAAAGGGTTTCAGGTCAAAAATAATGGAAAGCCGGTCATAGATTGACTTGCCTCACGGTATACTTTGCGACTGAAAATTAGATCTTTGTTTACATGAGAACAATGATCAGAGGACATCACACATTCAAGTCATGTCAGATCATGTCATGTCAATCACACACTTCTGAATGTTTTTTGTTCAGTTTCCATATTCTAAATAGAGAATTTTGTCAAAATCTATTAAAGAGTAGTCGACAGGTTGAAACTAGTAATTAGTGTAAATGAGCTGCTTTCTTGTGTTTTTTTACCAGTTGTTAGTTATTATATATATTTTTTTATAATTGATAATTTTTATTTCCTGCTTCCCCTGTTACAGAAAGGGCATAGAGCTAGGGGAGTTAGTTATTATATTGGTCTGTCAAAGTTTGTTAAAGGTACTTCTCGTTTGACTTATAATTGGATGTCCAGATGTCTTTGTACAGCCACAACACTAGTATTGTCAGTCACTGAATACATGTGGAATACTACACAAGTTTTCATTAAGATACCAATTTTACCAAAATAAGTGAACTTCCTATGACTGTGATACCGATATAAGTGATACCTTAGGAAGTTACTTGTGTCATTACCCATGATATGAAACAGTAACTGAATTAACAAGCCTGTTCACTACTTTGCACATTCCAGTGTATGTGCACAAGTTTGAAGCTCTAAAATGTGAATAGAAAAAATATTAGATAAGGACTGTATAATCAATCAGTGAGGAAATAGTAATGAGACAGTAAATATCATTATGTTTGAGCTATGATATATCCCCTGAAATGTTAGGTATCAAGATTCCAAGACCATTCAAGTATCTATGTGTAATTTTAGGATAATGGAGGGACATTCTATGAATTTTTAAATGAACATGTGAACAATTTTGTCTTGCAATTCATCAAATTCATTCTGCCTTTCAGTAGTACATTATTATCTTTTATGTGCTTTCAGTGTTTATGTCCATCTCCTTGTTGTGTCTGACATCTCTTATAAGAGTATCAACTCTAAATCCCGGAAGAATTCCAACATCCAGCATCTATGGTAAATATTACTTTTCATTATAGTGTATATAGTCAGTCAGATCAGTAAATATTAAATAGCAATGCAATTTGCCCCGTAAGTGTTGTTTGCCGAGCCATGACAGGATAGGATGATCTTTTTATCTCAGAATTGTTCATGATCAGTTTTGCTCATCATTTCATAAACATGGTAAGTATCTATGTTGCCAAAATCACCAGTTTGGGCCTAAATACAGTCTCCTTTGATGATCAGTTACGGACGTATAATACAAGTATTAATTATTCGTCACAGCACTCATACTGCAAAATAAGTCAATAGCGTTCATCCCAGAAGGGTGTCAAGGATGTCTACATGCAGCAGTCATTGGTTCTTATTTGGCAATACTCATATCTGGTGTAATTAATCATTCTATGATTGGGTTATAAACAGGTTTGATGAATGTTTGGTGCAAGGGAGGAATGCTCACTTGAGTTGCCAAAATCTTTCATCAAAGAATTAAGTGAAAAATACTGAACTGCAAAAGAAACGTCACCTTTCAAAACCGAATGCAAATTTCTTTTCTTACATGATGGTGTATTATATTATGATTGTACGGTTTTGTTAACATGTTTTTCAATCCAAATTGACAGTTATTGCCAACATCAGTGTGTTTTCTGATGTGAAAGCATACCTAAAACGCACACCTAAAAAGGCAGACGCATTAAAAGGTTCATGAAAATGCACAAGCATATCGTGACAACCCTACCAATGAATGCGAGTCCCAAACTTGCCTGAAATCATTCTTGTTTTGACACAATCACCATGCCATGACTTATGAGAGGTCAGAGGAACCAAGCCTTGGGACTATTGCAACTTGGCCAGACTGCTCAGAGGGTAGCCAATCATTTTAAAGTTCATGTTAGGACAATCTTCTGACTGTCAGAGCGATATCAATCCACCAACAGCATCCAAGACCTTCAGTAACGCCCTAACATCAAGACCAGCTCTTATGTCATACAAAATGGCCATTTATCTTCACCGTTCTATAATGAATGTGGTTGTAGACAAGGCTATCCCATATCCCCCTGCCTTTTCTTATTTGTGGCTGAATATCTGGGTTGTATGATTAGGCAAAATAAGGACATTAAAGGTATAGCTTTGAATGGGCAAGAATATGATTTAGGCCAGTACACAGATGATACTCAACTTTTTCGTTGCTGTCTCCCATGGACACGAAAAAATAGATTTCGGACGAAGGAGTAACAACTTATGCGTATTAAATAATAATAAAACAATAATCTAATATGGAGAAAATTTACTACAGCCCATGCGGATACTGGAAGGGCGCGGGTGCCATCCCGAAACTCGCCAAAGCCGCCAGAGTCTCCGAAGACGTCGCTAAAGCTTGGCTTAAAAAACAAGCCTTGTGGCAAGTCTACCTGCCGGGGCCCCTGTAGATCCCGAGAAGAAAATTTGATATTTCGATACCGAATTGAGTGCATCAAGCTGACATCTTGTTTCTACCGCACGATAGGGTGAGACATAAAACATACAAGTATGCCCTGACCGTCATGGATGTCGCCAGTCGCTACAAAGAGGCTGAACCGTTGACGATGAAAGATTTGACCGAAGTCCCAAAAGCACTTGAATGCATATACAAAAGCAGTCGCTTAACCTGGCCTGCCAAGCTGCAAGTCAACCCAGGACGCGAGTTCATGGGTGCCATGTCGCAGCTGCTGGCCGGGTGAAGCACAAAGTCCCAGTCAGACGCGGTATAGCAGGAGCACATCGTAGCCAAGCCATCGTCAAGAAATTCAATCGCACCTTTCTGAGCGGCTATTCCGCCATCAGTATGCTTGATATTTAATCACTCCCGAGAAATGATCGGCGGAATGGGTTACATGTTTGCCTCACGTGTTGGCGGCCATCAACAACGAACTCACTCAATTCGTGGGCAGGAGACCCGCGAAGCCATCAAAATGAAATCTATCACCACCGAATCATCCGTACCACATCACGAGAAAAGAGAGAAAAAACTACTGAACCGGGTCAGCGTGAGGTATATGTATTAGCCGGGTGAACACGAGGCAGATAGCAGAAAACGAAAACCCAAGGTACAGCTGACCATGTATTACAGGGGCAGGGGAATTGCTCATCACTGATCGGAGTCAGAGGTCTTTACCCGAGCCGTACACTTGGCGAGCGAGACAGCCGGCCGTGTATTACAGGGGCAGGTTGATTGCTCATCACTGATCGGAGTCCGAGGTCTTTACCCGAGCCGTTTACACAGCACACAGAACGACTGCCTGGCGGTCGGAGATGCCAAACCCCGTTAACAAACGTAGGCACCTATATGTTGGATAGTTAGCCTTTCACCAGAATAACCCATGCTCACTAAAAAGTGAATATTTCATAAACTATTCGTGGACGATGAATGATGGTCCGCCATCATCCATCCATATTTTTCACTCAGGCAGGGCCGGGAGTTCGCAAAAAAGTATCAGTTTTAGAGGTCCTGTCAAAGAACTATCATTCCCTATACTCACTAAATACATGCTCACTAAAAAGTGAATATTTCATAAACTATTCGTGGACGATGAATGATGGTCCGCCATCATCCATCCATATTTTTCACTCAGGCAGGGCCGGGAGTTCGCAAAAAAATATCAGTTTTAGAGGTCCTGTCAAAGAACTATCATTCCCTATACTCACTAAATACATGCTCACTAAAAAGTGAATATTTCAGAAACTATTCGTGGACGATGAATGATGGTCCGCCATCATCCATCCATATTTTTCACTCAGGCAGGGGCGGGAGTTCGCAAAAAAATATCAGTTTTAGAGGTCCTGTCAAAGAACTATCATTCCCTATACTACTAGGTGTCATGCAGGTCTAGCAGTGAGAGGTTTTCATACAAGGAAGTAACATCAACGCCACCTTGTGGACAGCAGTAATGACTATAATGACTGTCATTGTTGGGAAATGTGCATGAAATACCAATGCATTGGTCTACATAATTTCAATGCTGTACCGTTTATTTTTGTTGATTTACAAATAATTGAGTAAGACCAAATTTTTCAATGATATTTTGCTTTTGAGTTTCTTTTTTGAAGAGTGTACTTTCTTCAACATCTAATAGATTTGCCCTGGGGACATACCCAGAAAGTTTCATTGAAATCCATATAGAAGTTTTTGAGTAAAGTTGCTTACACATAAATACACACACAAACAAGGTTGATTACATACCTTCTGCAACAAACTTTCGGTTTTGGCAGAGGTAATTATAATCATAGTAATTATTATGCATACATATATTATTGAGATTCATGATATATAATGGTAGTTGCAAAACACCCATCACAAGGTACAATTTGATATACTACATGCCTCAATTGTGGGTACCAATGTACAGTTACCCCAGAATGACACTTATAATCATCAGAAAATAATGGAACCATGTTTTTTCTGAAACCATATGCAATACTGATACTGATTACAATTATCAGTGGTTCCCAAAATCAACATGCACTTTTCACAGAAAGCATATTTACTACATAAGCCCCTGCACTATTGCCCTCTCTCAAAACATGAGTTATCTGTCCTTGGCGACCGCTATTAAAAACATAATGCGCATGTGCTGGTCAACGCGTATCTACTTCCGAGAAGTGTCGTGCCAGTGCGGCAAATGTCAAGAATGCCGTCAAAACAGCGATACTGTTGTATTTGTAGTAATCATTGTAAGAAATTTGCGAATGGCCGGAAGATCACTATGCACAGATTCCCTGCAGATATACGACTGAGAAGGGTTTGGATTCAAAGATGCAAGCTTGTCCCTTCCAACTTCAAATACACAAGAAATGACAGCACCAGATTATGCTCGGAACACTTTTACAGCGGGGAGGGACCGGGTAAGCTTCATCCTTTGCCAACTGTTTTCCCAAAGAAGACTTTCAAACTTTCGGTAAGATTGTTTGCGAAAAAATTTAGTTTAAAAGCAGATGGTATTTCGTATTATCCACCAAAGTGATAAAGCAAGGCTTAGGAGGTTAGTCGTATCGTATCATGTAGACTAGTACACATACAGATCAAGAATTGAGATAAATTTGACTTTATTAATGTGAATTCCAAATGAAATATGAAATAATTACGTGCATGTTATTAGAACAATATTGGTAAGTATGGTAACCTTATACCTTTCAATGAATCCATCCAAACATTAGCATTGCAAAAAACGGTTTTAATTCCTTCATGTCATTATTATTTTTAAATTCTGGAAAATTAGTTGACATTTTCCCCTGATTACTGCATACATTTCCCAAAAAATGACAGTTGATTGGTGATCATTTTATCTTTTCAAAATGTGTCCCATCTTGTCCGTGGAACTACATGTGAGACCGATTTGGATCGTGGTCTTGGTGAGAACATGGATATTGATGATGTTAATGAGATTGCTTTGCATATGGAGGATACAAGTATGTGTGATGTGTCAGCAGAGAAATCAGATTCACCTGCAGGACTTTTATCAAGACTTGAACGTTCCCTTAGTCACCATGACTACTGTGGTTCCCAAATGTTGACCAGTCTCTCTGTGAATAAATGTACCCAAACATTTTCGGAACCTGTTACATCAGCTGGAACTCAGACATTTGACAATGAAATTATCTATTGCAATGCAAGCACTCAAACATATGATTCATTGATGCACAGTGTTGGTATTCAAGTTGACAAACCAACATTGACCTATGAGGATATCAGGTGCTCTGATGAAAGTGTTATGTTCTACACTGGAGTTGCAGATTCGTCAACATTTGAGGCTTTGTTTGATGAAATGTATGATGATGAGCAGGTTTACTCTGACACATCTGATGGTGGGAGACCACATGCTTTGAGGCAGATAGATGAATTTTTCATGATTCTAATGAGATTGAGATTAGGACTGTTACTAGATGATTTGGCATACAGATTTAGAATTTCACGTGCAACATGCGGCAGACTCTGCAACAAGTGGTTTGACTATTTGTATGTTCAACTCTCGTTTTTG